TCCGACTCAGTCCTTCAGAACCCGTCTCCGATACCAGCCTGGCGCTCGCCCCTGCGCAAGCAAAATAAATCGACCATTGTCAGACTGCGATCATTCGTATGCACCGCCGATGACGCGCCCGAAAACACGTCAATATGAGTTCGCCGGAATATTACTTTCGATTCCCTTTATGCATAAGTCGAAATAATAATATTTTGTTGAAAAATCGAAGGTTATTTCAGGAGAGAGAACAGGGTATTCAGGGAGTTAAGTTGTTGGATATGGGAATTCGGGAGCGTGGTCTTACTGAGTGGTCAATACTTTCGTAATCACGAAAATCACCGTCCTGGTCGCAACCAGCGTAATTCCGGAGCGGAGAATTACCACCTGGAGAAATAACACTATCGCAATAATGTTATTTCAGTGCCTTCAGACCTGTCGTGGCATTTTCCATGGTTGGATTAGGCAGGGGTACCAGCATAAATCACACTAAAAATATTAAAATGATAATTCACGTTGAAACTATATACAGCCTCTGTAGTTAACAGAGGCTGGTCGATATTGTATAATATGACGATTTCTGGTTAGTTATCAGTGAAGGCTGACCGTATCCATAATCGTGCCATCTTCAGCGCCTTTCAGAGCGAGATTGGCTTCGTAATATTTACCTTCAGCCATTAAGCTCTGTGCACTCTTCACTTTCTGCTGAGTCTGTTTTAAAGGCATAAGCCACTGTGTTTCAGATATATTAATTCCTGCCAGCTGCAGTTTTTCAATTGCACCTTTTTTGTCACCTTTATCCAGTTTTTTATTTGCTTCATCGATGGCTTTCTGCTTTTCTGGTGTGGCTGTAAAATCTTCTGCCAGCGTCAGTTGACTGTTAATAATGACATAAACATCGCCTTCCTGAGGGGTTTTTTTGTCTTTTCTGACCAGCTGCGCCCATGTTGTGTCTTCTGATGTTAACAATTTGTTTGCGTCATTTATCAGTTTTACAGCACCCTCCGTATCACCGCTAAAAAGAGTCAGGCGAGCATACTGAATATCTCTCATAATATTTATGCCCCGTTGTTCCATCTTCATTTTTTCTGATGTAACAACAGGGTGATGAGCCGCTGATGTATCCTGAGTTTTTGTATCAGCAACGGCAACGGAAGCAGCAAGAGAAGCTGCAAGGGCAATAGTGGTTAATATACGTTTCATAAAATTACTCCATAACCATATAAAACAAACCCGTGTGTACGAAAATGAATCATCTCACACAGGAATTTATATTAACGCTTCAGTCTATAATTAAGAAGTCTGACCACGTTATACTCTGCCAAAGATACAGCCGGGATAAAAATTCTCATTACCAGTTAAAATTGTTATATTTTATTTATGGTCTGAAGGAGAATGTGTTTCTGTTAAGGTGGAAAATATACATAATGAGGCGCTTTCTTTCTGTATGGACAAAGGTGGTCCTTGTCTACCAGACAGTACAATAGTGTGCGGGTTGTTATTATCAGTTACAGATGTAGTGCTATTGGTAGTGTGTTTTACATGTTGAAATAATTAACCCGGGAATATACAGATTTGTTCTGTAAAACTCCTGAGGAAGCTGTTGTCAAATTGCACAGAAATGGCAAGGGGGCTGGTCGTACCCTGAAACGGAAGAGTGCGCAGAATGAGTTTTGTCGCGATGGTTAGGGGAAAAACGGCAATAACACAGGTAAAAACGCTCAGTACCAGGTGGCATCATATCGTAACAATGGTTTTTTTGGCCTGGTTGACGGCCTGAACTTTGCAGTACAGTACCAGGGTAAAAATGAACGTAATGATTTAGATCATTATACCAAAGGAAACGATGATGGTTTCGGTTTCTCCACTACCTATGAATACGAGGGGGTCAGCGTTGGTGCAACTTATGCGAAATCTGATCGTACAGACATGCAGGTTCGGACAGGGAAAACGCTCCCGGAGTTGACCGCTTCCGGTAAAAATGCAGAAGTCCGGGCGGCCGGTCTGAAATATGATGCCAATAACGTTTATCTGGCAACAACCTATTCAGAAACACAGAATATGACAGCTTTTGCTGGTGACTTTATTGCAAATAAAGCACAAAACTTTGAAGCAGTTACACAGTATCAGTTTGATTTCGGTCTGCGTCCGTCCATCGCTTATCTGCAGTCTAAAGGTAAGGATCCTGGTATGTGGGGTAACCAGGATTTGGTGAAATATGTTGATGTTGGTGCGACTTACTACTTCAATAAAAGCATATCCGCGTTTGTTGATTATAAAATCAACCTGCTTGACAAAAACAATTTCACGGATGTTCTGGGTATTAACACAGATGATATAATTGCCACTGGTCTGGTATATCAGTTCTGAGTTGATTCTGAAAGATATACCGGAGAGGTTCCACCTCTCCGGTATATATGTGGTTCCCTCAAACCACTTTCCTGAGATACAATTTTGTATCTGTCTGAAAATAACCTTCTGTTGTTTATCTTTATTCCAGGGGCGTTTTCGAATCCCATTTTGACAGATATTCGCGCGACTCAGAAACATCACATATAAGGATGTCTCCGGAAAATAGTTCCCCCACCGACATGATTTCACTTGTTTGTTACAATAGGGGGGATTGCGTTCCTGCCACATAAATTCCCACAATCCGTGGTCAGGTTGTTTTCTCCAGTTTTACAGTACAGATAACCGAAGTTGTACCGGTATCAGGTAGCTCATATTCAGTAATATCGTCATTGTGTACAGACAATCCTGCCACACACCAGGACTCCCGATAACTACTCACCCCATACAGAAAGGGAAGGATGTAAATTCGGTTCGCCCCTGTTTGTACTACATACTCCAAATATTCAGATAATTGTCCGGGATTCAGGATAACTACCTCATTAAATTCTTCTTTCCACTCACGAATGGGTGCATCATGTTTTCAGTATACCTACCGTTGTCAGGATGCGGGAGAAACGATCCTTTATCCACCTTTTATATTCTTTACTGTGGTCACTCGTTACATAACTTCTGTCCGGACTCACCATGCCGCTGTTTACGCTTCTCATTCAGTATCATCAGCCGGGTTTCTGCCTCTTTCTGCTCCTGTGGTGTCACTTCCCCGCATGGCTGCCCTTTCAGGTCGTAACGGGCGCCACCGGCCATTAACGCACGGTAATAGCGTGGGGACTGTACATAAGACGCCACCGCCGCACGTAATGCACCTGTACCAAATACCTGTTTTCTGAGGGTGATATCCTGTATCAGATCGTCAGCTATCCCCACTTTAATTGGCTTCGGATTTTCACGGTTGAATAACTCAGGCCAGAGCTCCACAAGACGATTAATACGCTTACGATTTTTGCGCTGGCGTTTTGTCATATGCCGCCACGGTGTTTTATTCGCAGGCTTCTGTCTGTCATTCACTTGTGGTGGTATCCGTCCTTTGTGTGCTGTGTTCGTTTTATCCTGCTGTGGCTTAGCAAAAATCCCCTGCGGTTTACGGTTAATGGTCAGCGTTACCATCAATACTTTTACCTTATGCTGTCGTAAAAAATGGAATCTCATCCGGGACATTTTCCGGTGGATATAAGACAGCCCGGTGTCTGTATTGTTCCTGTCACTTACGATGAGTGCATTTGTAATCAATAAATATCGGGGGTGACGGTCATCCCGGAACAAATGACTGAAAACGGCGTCAAAGTTACAGGAAAACACCGTTTATCGACACCGGACAAAAGAGCGTTGTCGGTATCCGGCTCAAAAGCAGGAATAACAATCAGCGTCATGGCGTGGTGAATGCCGGTGCCAGGTAGTCAGCAGGTAATTATTGATGGCAAGACCAAAAGGTGCGTTAAACAAACGAACCCTGTCAGTGGTGAATATGGTACAGCCCGGTGAGGTAAAATATTTTTCACTTGAACAATTTTTAAAGAACCGGAAACGAACCAAAATGGGGCGTCGTTCCCGGAAGAACTCATCTCAGACAGAGGGCCAGGAACAAAAACAGTGTGACGGAGTAAAGGACCGGGAGCTTACCGGTAATTCAGCACCGGCAGAACAATCTTTATGCCACGTATACTCCGGATGTTCACTTATCAGCGGTCATGGCTGAATACATAGTTGTGCTGGTGATATTGATGATGTTCTGTCATGGGGATGGCTGGTGTGTTTTGATAATCCGTAACTTGTATGCCCGCACAGAGCTGTTTCATCTGGTGGATATGACAGTGATGAAATCATGTTGTACCGCTGTTAAAAACAGTCGTTCAGTCCTTTATGTTACCCGTTTTGGTAACAATCAGTTGGTCATGGACGTGTGAACCATCTGTGCTTCCATTGAATTTTATGGACTGATAAAGTTTTGTCAGATGAATTTTTATACGGAATTCTTTTCAGTATGCATACACGAATTGATTATCTGGTGAATAAATACAGTTTTACAGAACTGAATGAATCTCCACGTCTTCGTCGGCAGTGGCAGGATGTTCTGGAGGAGTGCCGGCAGACAGAGGCCGGGC